ATTCTCCACAGAGGGCTGGCCATCTATTCCCCATGTTGTGATGCCCAGTGCAGCAGTCTGGGAGCTGACCTTGTTAGTGAAGACAGAGGCAAAAAAAGCATTGAGTACATTAGCTTTTTCCACATCCTCTGTCACTAGGTTGCCTCCCTCATTCAGTAAGGGGCCCACACTTTCCTTGACTTTCTTCTTGTTGCCAACATACCTGAAGAAACCCTTAATTCTTTAATTCTTTAATTCTTTAGGCCGTCTTTATGTAAGCAGAGTCAGGATGAGCTCCACCCTGACATCGGGTGGTGAGGTGTGGCAAGTTGTGGAAAAGAACTTCAGGGGCTGATGTCATTTGCATAGGCACACCCACCCTGCCTAGCATGAGCCCATAGCTGCCCAAATGGTCACTTTGGCTGCTGTGGGATCCCCAGTGTCTCTGTTATTGGGGCAGGAAGAATAAATTGTTATTACCCTGACTATGGGAACTGTGCTTGGAACTGTACTGGGCCTTTTGTTATGATGGAGGGACTCACCATCAACTAAGCAGCACTCGCTAGGCAAGGGACATGGGTTCCAAAACCCTATGAATTGAGAGAGGCTGGGGATAAGTATTAATACTTGGTAGTATGGGCCTCTGGGTGAGGGTCTTACATGCCAATTGTACTTTCTCTTCTTTCCCCTGTGGAATATCAGAGCTAATTTTGATTCCTTTAGGAGTCTAGTTACAGGCTGCTGAGCTCATTTTGGGTTAATGGTGTACCAGCCCTGAGGCTCCAGTACTACAAGCTGAATTCACCTAAGAGCTGAAATCACTGAGCGTTGTGTTAAGTAGTGGGGGAGCCTGAAGATATATTGTGGAGCAGTTTGCAAGCAGTGCTGAAGTGCCTTGTGGACAGGCTGGTGGAGCAGTTCATAGGACGGTGGGAGCTGCCTGTGGGCAGCAGAGCTGAGCTGAGCCAAGCAGTTTGCGGGGCGGTTGGTGGGGCGGAGCAAAGCGAAGGCCTATGGAGCTGTGGGACAGCCAGCTTCAGATCATGTAAGGTGACTCTTACCTCTCTCTTTCTCTCCCCCCTCCATCTCCACCCAGGTTGGGAGGTAAAGCTCTGCAGATAAACTTTCGAACTCTGGGGCTGCCCTGACCAGGGACAGAGACTTTTGGGCGACTGGACTTTTGGGACTTTGGGTGATTTGGGGTTGCTGGACTCAAGAACCAAAGGGAAAGGGCATGCCCCAATTTGCTTGGGGTGGGTTTTTTGCTGATGGGTTGTGTTATGAATCCTGTTGGTGGTGTTTCCCCAACCTAATGCCACATTGTTTCTCTCTGTTATTAAAAGGCTTTTTGCTACACTCAGACTACGTGATTGCGAGAGGGGAAGTATTGCCTCTTGGAGGCGCCCAGCGGGGGTGGTATATATTTGTCCCAGGTCACTGGGTGGGGGCTCGAGCCAGTTTGCATTGTGTTATTGGAATGGATCCCCTAGATACTGAGCCTGGCCCTTGTTGCTGCCAACTCTGACGGGCAGAAGGGTTATATTTAAAAAAGGGAAGAAGGATGATCCTGGGAACTACAGGCCAGTCAGCCTCACCTCAGTCCCCAGAAAAATCATGGAGCAGGTCCTCAAGGAATCAATTCTGAAGCACTTAGATGAGAGGAAAGTGATCAGGAACAGTCAGCATGGATTCACCAAGGGAAAGTCATGCCTGACTAATCTAATTGCCTTCTATGATGAGATAACTGGTTCTGTGGATGAAGGGAAAGCAGTGGACGTGTTATTCCTCAACTTTAGCAAAGCTTTTGACACGGTCTCCCACAGTATTCTTGTCAGTAAGTTAAAGAAGTATGGGCTGGATGGATGCACTACAAGGTGGGTAGAAAGCTGGCTAGATTGTCGGGCTCAACGGGTAGTGATCAATGGCTCCATGTCTAGTTGGCAGCCAGTATCTAGCGGAGTGCCCCAAGGGTCGGTCCTGGGGCCGGTTTTGTTCAATATCTTCATTAATGATCTGGAGGATGGTGTGGATTGCACCCTCAGCAAGTTTGCGGATGACACTAAACTGGGAGGAGTGGTAGACATGCTGGAGGGTAGGGATAGGATACAGAGGGACCTAGACAAATCAGAGGATTGGGCCAAAATAAATCTGATGAGGTTCAACAAGGACAAGTGCAGAGTCCTGCACTTAGGACGGAAAAATCCAATGCACCACTACAGACTAGGGACCGAATGGCTCGGCAGCAGTTCTGTGGAAAAGGACCTAGGGGTGACAGTGGACGAGAAGCTGGATATGAGTCAACAGTGTGCCCTTGTTGCCAAGAAGGCCAATGGCATTTTGGGGTGTATAAGTAGGGGCATTGCCAGCAGATCGAGGGACGTGATCGTTCCCCTCTATTCGACATTGGTGAGGCCTCCTCTGGAGTACTGTGTCCAGTTTTGGGCCCCACACTACAAGAAGGATGTGGAGAAATTGGAGAGAGTCCAGCGAAGGCAACAAAAATGATTAGGGGACTGGAACACATGAGTTATGAGGAGAGGCTGAGGGAACTGGGATTGTTTAGTCTACGGAAGAGAAGAATGAGGGGGGATTTGATAGCTGCTTTCAACTACCTGAAAGGTGGGTCCAAAGAGGATGGATCTAGACTATTCTCAGTGATAGCAGGTGACAGGACAAGGAGTAATGGTCTCAAGTTGCAGTGGGGGAGGTTTAGGTTGGATATTAGGAAAAACTTTTTCACTACGAGGGTGTTGAAGCACTGGAATGCGTTACCTAGGGAGGTGGTAGAATCCCCTTCCTTAGAAGTTTTTAAGGTCAGGCTTGACAAAGCCCTGGCTGGGATGATTTAGTTGGAATTGGTCCTGCTCTGGGCAGGGGTTTGGACTAGATGGCCTCCAGAGGTCCCTTCCAACCAACCCTGCTATTCTATGATTCTATGGTTCCAGCCCTTGGCTCCCAACCAGACAAATAGGTCTAATATAGTGAGAGGTTACTGGAGACCCAATTCACCAAATGTGAGGCTCGTTCCAATCCCAAAGGATCAGACACTTCCCCCCAGGTTAGGGTGAACAGATGTCCCATTTTTATAGGGACAGTCCCATTTTGGGGGACTTTTTCTTACATAGGGACCTATTACCCCCTACCCCCTGTCCCGTTTTTTCACAGTTGCTATCTGATCACCCTAGCCCAGGTCAATATAATCTCAGATTTTAGCACGCTGTCAGCCAATCCTTAGTAAACTAACTAGAGATTTAATAATAAAAGGAGAGAGTTATAAATGGGTAATAAATCCTATGCAGACAAGTGATTGCAAAGTCCTTAGATCAGGTTTGCTGGGACAGACGGTGGGCTTGACAAAGTCTCTCTGGTAACTTCCAAAGGATTGGAAGGTTCTCAGTTCAAGTTGCTCCTGTTAAGTGTAAATCCACAGTCCAGAGAATTGGGGCAGGCAAAATGGAGGCATTGAAACTGCAATTTATATCTTCTCTGCCGTGGGCATGGAAATGTACTGTCCCAAAGAAAGCCCCCAGCTCCAGTGCATGGAAAATCACTGGCCCAAGATGGATCCTAGGGTCACGTGAGCTACCACATGCCCTTAGGTGATTTGCTGAAACACAGGGGGTGGCCACATTGGCTCCTCGCTGTCTGAGGCATCCTCAGGAACAGCTATTTGCACGGGATGGGTTTCTCCGATGGCCCATTGTGAGAGTGGAGTGCCTTTGATAGGTAAGGCCCTTCAGTTTCAGATTTGATTTGATTTAATTTTTCCCGGGTGTTTATTAGCCATCACAACAAAAACAGGTGAAAATCGGTGCCAAAAACTATTGGTAATTTTTCTGGGTAAATCTCGGGGTTTATTTTGGTGGACGGGGGTAAGTGCTCAGTGGATTAACGCTTTGATGAACGGTTTCAGAGTAGCAGCCATGTTAGTCTATATCCGCAAAAAGAAAAGGAGTCCTTGTGGCACCTTAAAGACTAACAAATTTATTTGAGCATAAGCAAATGCATCCGATGAAGTGAGCTGTAGCTCACGAACGCTTATGCTCAAATAGATTGGTTAGTCTCTAGGGTGCCACAAGTCCTCCTGTTCTTTTTGCGAATACAGACTAACAGGGCTGCTACTCTGAAACCTATCAGTTGACTGTTGTAGACTTAGAACGATTAAGCCTATAAATATTAATGTTTAATAATTGGGCCCCACCATTTGAGCGGATACTCTCAATTTCATCCTTTTCTCCTGTTTTTTGGTTGTTTTTAAACTTTTGAATGCGTCCTTGTGCTCTGAACCATGTTCTGAGACAGAGTTTCGTTTTCTTCCCATTTCACTGCATCAGATCTTTAAACCATTCAATGTGCCCATGGTGGGCATGAGATTCATCAGTACGTTCAGATGCACACACTTCCGAGCTTGCATGCGGGCCTGTTTGTTTATTGGGTGTATCTTCCAGACTAATACAGAGCCTGACTTTAAGGCAGCTTTGCATATACACACAGACTAATGTATTATCCTAATCCATATCTCTCATGCAATGCATTGTATTTTCCTAATAAAACAAGTTCTTTTTTATATATTTGAATGATACAAAAGTATGGTGAAAATCGGAAACTAAGGGTAATTGTATAACAGTGATAATATCAATGATATAAATGGTCTTTAATCATACAGCTGCACAGGAAGGGTGTCTAGTGATTGGGAGGGCAGGGAGTCAGGACTCCTGGGAGGGGAGGGGAGTGGGATCAAGTAGTTAGAGCCGGGGTAGCTGGAAGCCAGGACGCCTGAGTTCTATCCCTAACTCGGGGAGGGGAGTGGGGCTAGTGGTTAGAGATGGAAACCCCATCCCTGGAGCAAACTCTCCCTTCCTGGCAGCCCAGATGGGAGTGTCATGCTGACTTTTAATGGGCCACTAGGCAGGGACGTGAGGAGTAGGTGGAGCAGGGTACGGGGGTTTATTGCGGGATCCCTTATCATGGCTCACATTTGCTCTCCAGGGTGTGGCTGCATCTGGCTAGGCTGGTTCTTGTCCTATTCCTCTTTGCAGCTTGGGGGCGGGCCTGGGGACCGGCTCTGTCCGGTGGTGGATAAAGGGCCCTGGATCTGCAAGGAAGAAGAGAACAGGAAAGGCAGAGCGGAGGAGCAGAGGATCCTGGAGCATCTGTTTCTCAGGGGAGGAAGACGGTGAAAGGCGGAAAGGAGCGAGAGATCGGGGGGGGGGGGGCTCTGATTCTCAGCAAGGGAAGAAGGAAGGTGAAAGGCAGAAAGAAAAGAGTGACTGTTGCGGGTTTGCTCCGCCGAGCAGAAGAAGGACGTGAGGGGCAGAGCGGAGGACAGCAAACACCCTGAATTTGCCCAGTGGACCCCAGGGCCCTGAGGCAGTAGTGGGTGCAAAAGGGGAGCGAGAAAGGTCACTCAGAGGGGAGAACGCCCCAAGTCAACTCAGGAAATACAGCAAGCCGGCACCAGAGGAGCAGGAGAACGGCCTGGAGGAGGAGAGGGGAGGCCTGGAAATTAGGGGGCTTGGAGACACGCCCTGAGGGAGTGGCAGACCAGCAAAGGCTCCTAGGAGGAGTGCGGCACCATGAGTTACCCAGGCTATGGTAAAGGCCCCGAGCCCTCCGTCCCTGCTCAGCCGCCCCCATACTCCAACGTGCCGCCTTATGGGGCCCCTCCTCCGCTACTGCCCTCAGACCGGCAACTCCCCACTCCAAGCTACGGGGCAGCTCCCAACCAACAGGGCTATTACCCTCCATACAACGAGGACCCCAACCGGGGCCCGATGGGCTATGCCCCACAGCAGGTCATCCTGGTCTCCCCACCTCCTGCCAAGGAGAATGACTACCTGGGCTACTCCATCTTCACCCTCCTCTGCTGCTGCCTGCCCCTGGGCATCGTGGCGCTGGTGTATTCCATCCAGGTGAGTCCCTAGGGGGCACTCTCCCCTGGCCCCACTGACCCAGCACGGTCGCTAGGGGGCGCTGTGCTGCAGGGAGCAGGGTGGGGATACTCTCCCCTGGCAGTAAGGGCTGGAGCTAGGGGGCGCTGGGCTGCAGGGAGCAGGGTGGGGGGTGCTCTTTCCAGGCAGTCAGTGCTGATCGCATTGCACCACTTGGGGGCACTGTGCTGCAGGGCACAGTGGGCTCTCTCTTGTGGCAATGAGTTCCACAGTCCGCACCCATCCCACAGTTTGCTCTTCTGGGATCCTGTCACTGGAGCAGGTGACATCATTCCTCAGGGATCGGTAGGAGGACAACAAAGCAAGCTCTCTACTGAGTGGGGAGACCGTGTAAGGCTAGGAGGGTCTGGGGGTGGGTGCCCAGTTGGCTGGTGACATGGGCTGCTCTGCTCTGTGCCACCTGGGCCATTCCTTGTCCCTTTGGTTTCAAGGTAGTAATAGCCTGGATCGGCGCAGCCAGATAAGTGTGTGGCATGGAACCAGGGTCTAAGGGGAAGGCAGGTGTTGACATCTGATTCCCTAGGCTTGATTCTAGCCAGCTGCTTTTCATCCATGGAAAGGATATGTTGGGACTACGGGGCGGGGGAAAGAGCTGGGGACCGGTTAGAGGCACTGGGGAACAGCCACCCGGAGATAATAAGAGGGGTGTGGTAGAGGTGCTATTCATGGTTGTTACTCAGCAGCCCCACCCCAGAGGTGGCTGCGTCTCAGCCCCCAGTGAGCCATCCCTGTACAGTGTTATGTGTGGCTGTTCCCCGGCTGCCCCGCCCCAGAGGTGGCTGCATCTCAGCGCCGGGTGAACCGTACCCATGCAGCGTTGCTGTGTGGTTAATTGTTCCGGTCTCTCTGTCTCTCCACAGACCCGGGATGCCAACAGCAGCGGGAACACTAGCCAAGCACAGCAGAGTTCCCGGATGGCCCGGATTTTCAACCACACAGCCCTGGGGGTGGGGATTGTGGTGCTGATCGTGTGGGTCGCCATTGTGATTGCCATCAGCGTCTCAGCCTATAGATAAAACCCCTGAGGGACTGATCCTTCCGCCCCGCCCTGCCCCCCAGCTCTAAGCCGAGCCCTCCAATAGGGGGCAGTGGTTTTGAACACCTCCCTGAATCCATACACACAGACCCGCATTCACCACAACACAACCATCTCCTCAGCCCACCCACACAGTCACAAAGCAGCCAGTCTGTGCCCCCACATACAACATCCCCCCCTTGCCAGCCCCCCAGCCCACATCATGGGACCCAGGGAGAATGAGCCCCCTCTGCCAGCCATCAGGACTCACACACCCTAGACCCCCCAAGTAGGCCAAGTACCACTCCCCTCCCCCCCAGGGCGCATGGCCCAATGAGGGCGCAAAGGACTCTGGGAGACACTGGGACTGGACGGGACTTCAGACGGGGTCTGAGATGATTCAGACACGGCAAAGGGGGCTAAGAGGAGTGTGGACCCAAATGTCCTCCTGCCCCCCCCTCAATCTGGCCTTACCCCCCTGGCTCCCCACCACCACCACCCATCTGGGGTCCGTTTCGGGCCACACCATTGGATTCTGGGAAAAACGGGACTGGCCAGCCCATTGGCTAAGATTGTCTCATGTCCCCCTTTGTTGTGTGAGAGGATAAGAGCTCTACTACTCCTGCTGTCTGGTGGAGAGACTCCTTTAATGCCACCTAGAGGATACCAGCTCGACTACCACTGCTGGTTAATGGCTGAAGGAGCTGTGAGCAGGGCCTGTCATGGCCTGACCAGCAGGAGCACTCCCTGCTGGGTAACCCCAGAAGTCTGGTCCCTGATCAGCATCCTAGTGGCAAAATCCAGAAAGAGAGCGCGCAGCTGTCCTCACTCCTCCAGTGGGTCCCCAGAACGAACGCCCGTCTGCCTTGAGAAACCAGCTGCGGGCGCCCGGCTGGGAAAGCCACCCCCTGCCAGCTGCACTGACGAGCAGCAAAAAGCCTCTTGTATGCAGGTGCTAGGGGGTGGCACACTTCCAATGCCACCTGCGCCTCGGGAATGACAGTCCCGGGTTACTGCGAAACGACAGCTTCTGAAGGCCTCAAAACGCAGGCGGTTTCCCCAGTGTTTCACCCACCAGCCTTCGCCCGTCTGTCCAGAGGTTGCCCTCGATCCGCTGACAGCACTGAGGCTGGACACACTCGCGACTTTAATGCTCAGTGGAAGCTAGACGCATTCAGGCTGGAAACGAGGGGTCCGTGTCCAACAAGGAGGGGAATGCTGGGGTGGTTTTCTAAAAAAATCTGCTCTCATGCAAATGGGGGTTCATTTGGGAAAGCGTTCAGGCTTTGTTGTGATCACCGGGCTCCTTTCTGACCCTGTGATCGACAAAGCTACCGATGGACAGTGCTGCCAAGAGCTAGGTAGGATTCTTACGTGACTCTTTGGTTAAAGGGGCATTGGGCGCTCCAGAGGAATTCGGAGGGGTTCAGCGTTATCCCCCATATATTACCTTTGGGTACAGTCATGCGTGGGACGGCCTGGCTATGGAGTATTGCCCAGGTGAGGTCATTTTGAATTGAATTGCCGTTCTTGGCTCGATCAGTAGCTTGTCTCCCTTCTTCAATCCCACTTGAGAATCCTTTGCTTGACTTTAGAAGCGAGATCCACTAATTCCATGGACAGCCGAGCTCTTTTGGGGATATTTCAGGCTCCGTGTAGATACTAAATTCCCCCAGCAGAAGGGGTAGGGACAGAGACTAAATGTTTGCTGTGTAGCGAGACTGGGATGAGATCTTGTTGCATGGGCTGAGCACTCCGAAATTGTAGCATCCCGCGGGGAGTTCAGTTTCTGCGGCTCGGCTAACCAGCTTCCCGTTGCTTTCTGCAAACTCTCGGCTGCTTTCAAAGTTATTTTTGGCTAGTAAAACACTGATATGTGCTCATGCTCCAGTCGGTGCTGTAAGGATCACGGATCCAGAGGGAACTGGCTCATTAAATTATTTAACCAATGTGTGTTTGATATTTTACCTTTCTCACACTGCGCTCTAGCCCACTAGACCCACCTCCCCTCCCAGAGCCACAAAAAGAGCCCAGGAGTCCTGGCTCCCAGCCCCCCCTGCTCTAACCACTGGACCCCACTTCGTACCCAGAGCAGGGGAGAGAACTCAGGAGTCCTGACTCCCAGTCCCCTCCCTGCTGTAACCACTAGACCTTCCCAGAGCCAAGTACAGGGACAGAACCCAGGTGTCCTGACTCCCAGCTCCTCTGCTCAAACCACTAGACTCCCCTCCCCTCCCAGCTCATCTATGATGAGGTCTTCTGCTGGGCAATTCAGTGACCAGCCCTGGGGAACTGTGTTGGTGGTGACACACAGTGATGGGTTCCCTGCGGTGCAACCTGGAACTGGGGTACCACTGAGCCCTCTGGCTTACAAACTTGGGCTCCCTCTCACACTGTGATATTGTGACAAGCTGCAAACCCCTCCAGGTCCTGCACTTACACAGACATCCACAGGCAGGGATACACCCAGCTGAGTTACATGAATACTTCTCCTAGCCACTCATGAACCAACAATAGAGAGGATCCAGCCAATTCCCCCCCGTTCCCCAGCCTAGGATCCCAGGGCTGCACCGTCCTGCCCTAGCCAGACCCTGACCGGTGTAAGTTTATTATCCAGTCCTCCACTTCTACAAAGGAAAGTGGACATGCACCAGCTCTTGTTCCTGAGCAGATTCCCCCGGCACTTGGAGCAATGCACTGTACGGCAGGGTCGGGTCAGATGGCTACAGAAGAGTAATACAAGGCAGATATATTAGCCCCAGGCTAATTAGGTCCCTTTTCCCTGGGTAAGGTAACAGGGAAGGTTCCAGAACAATCAGGAACCTTCTGGAGACAATTAAGACAGGCTGATTAGAACACCTGCAGCCAATCAAGAAGCTGCTAGAATCAATTAAGGCAGGCTAATCAGGGCACCTGGGTTTAAAAAGGAGCTCACTTCAGTTTGTGGGGTGCGTGTGAGGAGCTGGGAGCAAGCGGCACTAGGAGCTGAGAGTGAGAACGCGGGCTGTTGGAGGACTGAGGTGTTCAAGCATTATCAGACACCAGGAGGAAGGTCCTATGGCGAGGATAAAGAAGGGGCTGGGAGGAGGCCATGGGGAAGTAGCCCAGGGAGTTGTAGCTGTCACCGAGCTGTTCCAGGAGGCAGTCTAGACAGCTGCATTGCACAGGGCCCTGGGCTGGAACCCAGAGTAGAGGGCGGGCCTGGGTTCCCCCCAAATCCTCCCAACTCCTGGTCAGACACAGGAGGAGTCGACCTGGACTGTGGGTTCAGAAAAACGGCCAAGCTGAGGGCTGCCGTGAAGCTCCAAGGCGAGCAAATCCGCCAATAAGCGCAAGACCCACCAAGGTAGAGCAGGAACTTTGTCACAACTGTTTTAGGTAAAACATAAAACAGATCTATTAACTACAGACCAATTGGAAGTGATTATAAGTAGTGAGCGTAGAGATCACAGTTGGTCACCTGAGAAATAAAAGTAAAATCACAATCTGAGTCCTATAATCTAGACAGGATTTGAGTCAAGTCGTGTCTCACCCTGATGGTATTGTTGTTGTTCCTTCATACACAGCCTGGGACTCTCCTTTCCTGCCTGGGGCCACCTGCTCCATTCAGTCTTTGTCCTCCAGACGTGTTTCCAGCTGTTGAGTTGTGTGGGGGAGAAAGGCCAAGTGATGATGTCACTTCCCCTCCCTTATTTGTTCCTGCAGCTTGCTGGAAAGATCTTTTGCAATGAAAAGGAGTACTTGTGGCACCTTAGAGACTAACCAATTGGTTAGTCTCTAAGGTGCCACAAGTACTCCTTTTCTTTTTGCGAATACAGACTAACACGGCTGTTCCTCTGAAACCTGTCATTTTGCAATGAAGTGAGTCAAACGGTGTCCATTGTCTACATGTTCTCTGGGAAAGCCATCATTGTTTACAGCTCCTGTGATAGTCCTTGGGAGTGTGGATTCATTTCTGGCTCCTCCGTTGTTGTACCTGAAAGGCTAGTTTTGGGGGGTTCCCAGCCTCACAACCTATTTCAGTAACACACACGTAGCAAAACATCACAGCTCCCCACGCAATGACAACACATCCAATCCAACGGGATATTAATGTCCAACAGATCAAGACTTTTAACCTAGTACCTCACAAAGCAGACTTGGTACAAAACGTATCATGATTATATCACCATGGTAAATATGGGGGTGCCAGGGTGTTGCTTTGGGGTGCAGAGTGTCACACATGCCTTACAGCCCTGCCCACTGGGGCAAGGAAAGTACCAGGTTGCGTGTCCCCAGGAGAGGGGCTGACACAGCCGGGGAACAAGCCAAGGGCACAGCCATTGTGTGCCCAGGGGTCTGATCTGGAAGGGGGCAGGATACCAGGCTAGATGGGCCCATGGGTCAGATCCAGGGCTATAGGGACAGGGTGGGCACTGGGCTAGCTGGGCCTGTGGCTCTATAACAGCGATGGGGGTGCAGGAGGGATGCCCACAGGCTGACCATTGCCTGAGCTTTCCCTGCTGGCAGCTCCGAGCTATCTATAGCATAGCCAGCAGGAAGTGCCAGGCAAGGGCAGGAATTCCAACAAGTCAGGCGAAATTGTTCTCATTTCCTGGTGTGCTCAGGTCAAAGGGAGGGAGCCTCAGCATCAGGCCGGACGTGGCTCTTGATTTTATCTAATCACATCGGTTTAAAGAAACGTGTGCTACCGAACTGGGGATAGAACCCAGGAGTCCAGGCTCCCAGCCCTCCCTGCTCCAAGCACTAGTCCCTTCTCCCCTCCCAGAGCTGGGATAGACCCTAGGAGTCCTGACTTCCAGCTCCCCCCCCCCCACAACGACTAGACCCCACTCCGCTCCCAGAGCCGGGGAGAGAACCCAGGAGTCCTGGCTTCCAGCCCCTCTGCTCTAACGACTAGACCCCACTCCACTCCCAGAGCCGGGGAGAGAACCTAGGAGTCCTGACTCTCTCTACCTACAAACTCACCCACAGCACCCAGGAATTTCTCAGGGCAGCTCAATGAGGAAGGCAGGAGGGAGCCAGAGAGCAGCATAGAAGCGTGGCCAGCAGGGGGCAGCACTGCCCCCACCCTGATCCCCAGGGCTGCCAGGCCTCTGAGAACCACCCCAGCTCAGTGCAGCCATGCTTAAAGGGACAGTTGTCTTCAAACAACCACCTCCACCTGAAAATGGTTTGACTCTTAGCCGGCAGAGTCAGGCTTCCAGGCACCAGTTAGGGTGATGTCCGCCTTTGTGGGGTGCTTGTGTGTGACAACGGGCTCCGGCCTGCATGTGTCAGGGTGCGTGTGTGTGTGTATCAGTGTGTGTGCGTGTCACTGGGCGTGTGTGTCGGTGAATGTGCGTGCCAGTCTGTGAGGAGCCCCTCCCTCCCTCCCCCCCGCCCGCAATCTCGCCGCCCGCCCGATAACCCAGCCATGATAAGGGTGGGGGGAGGGGGGTACCGCTGGCTCCGGCCTGCTTGTGCCCAGACAGTCACACGTGGCTGGGACAAAGTGGCTGTATCAGGCCAAGGGCCCTGCAAGGTCAGAGATGGGAAATTGCTGAGCCAGCACCAGCCTGGGCCACGGGGGGGTGTCGGAACCACTGGAGGATCCCCAGCTCAGGAGGGGTGTGGGGGCTAGTGGTTAGAGCAGGGGGGGCAGGGAGCCAGGACTCCTAGGTTGTATCCCTGTTGCCCTTGGGACAATCATTCCCCTTGTCATGCCTCAGTTTCCCCATTTGGCCAACACAGGAGTTGTTTTACTACCTTTTCTCTGCAGCATGAGTCAGGCCCTGCAGCGGAAGGGCTGAGACAAACCATCGCACCATCCCTGAAGCTGGCCGCACCCAGGGCCAGCAAAATGCCCCGTCTGCCCAACTCAGCAGCGGCACGACGCCCGCTCAGGAGGGCGCCACGGAGAGCTGCGTCCCTTGAGGCTCCTGAGCCAGCTCCAGCCGGCCCCACAAGCTGCCCAGCTGTAGACGACAACCCGAAGGAAGTGGAATGGAAACACCCACCTTGTTTGTGCTTGTGAGCTGCCCAAGGGAGAGAGAGACCTGTAGGTATATATAGCACAGACTGGTCCCGGCACTCACTGTGCCAGGCACTCTCCAGACACAGCCAGAGACAGGCCCTGCCCCAGCTGGGATCAGGGCTCCGTTGTGCCAGGCGCTGCTCAGACACAGCCAGAGACAGGCCCTGCCCCAGCTGGGATCAGGGCCCCGTCATGCCGGGCGCTGCCCAGACACAGAGCGAGAGACAGTCCCTGCCCAGGTCACTCTGTAACTAGACACAGGCAGGATTCTTCTTCCCACTTTACAGGTGGGGAAACTGAGGCACGGAGCTCTGCAGTGACTTGTCCAAGGTCACCCAGCGAGGCTACGACAGTCCTGGGCATTGAACCTGAATGTTTATCCTCCCACCTTAACCACTAGGCCACTTTGCCTCTGGAGGCACATTCTGCAGAGGTGCTGGAACTCGGGGTGCTGATGCTGCACCCGCTGGCTTGAAGTGGTTTCCTTCAGATACAGGGTTTGCCGTTTGGTTCAATGGCTCTCAGCCCCCCCGTCCCCCCGTCGCCCGTACAGATTGCTCCAGCATCCCCTGATATTCTCTGCAGCAGAATCAAATGCTTGTCCCTAAGGTCAGCGGCCCAGAGAAAACTGACAAGTCACGTCACGTGCCAGCCGCTCCGCTGAACACCGAGCCGGATCCTCCACTGCGGAAACCAGGAGGAACCCAGTGCCGCCCGTGACCCCAGCTGGGATCTGGGCCCCTGATCTCTCGTCACCTGTTCATGATCTGAACTTGACTATGATTTTTAAAATCTCTTGACTCTTATTTATTCCCAGAACAAGGCCACTTCCCCCCACTTTCTGTGCTCCACGGAGTGTAGAAAGACTTCTGGCTCCTAGCCCCACCCTGCTCTAACCACTAGACCCCCTCCCAGAGCCAGGGGTAGAACCCA